GAATTGATGCTTTTGAACTGTGGTGTTGGAGAAGACTCTTGAGAGTCCCTTGGACTGCAAGGAGATCCAACCAGTCCATCCTGAAGGAAATCAGTCCTGGGTGTTCATTGGAAGGACTGATGCTGAAGCTGAAACTTCAGTACTTTGGCCACCTCATGCGAAGAGCTAACTCATTGGAAAAGACCCTGATGCTGGGAGGGATTGGGAGCAGGAGGAGAATGGGTCGACAGAGGATGAGATGGCTGGATGGCATCACCGACTCAATGGACATGTGTTTGAGTAAACTCTGGGAGTTTGTGATGGACAGGGAGGCCTGGCGTGCTGCGATTCATGGGGTCACACAGAGTCGGACACGACTGAGTGACTGAACTGAACTGAACTGAACCTATTAGATGTAAAAGGTGAGATTCGGAATGGGCTGTTAGATGTGCTGGCTCTGGTGCTCAGAGGATAGGTTAGGGATATAGATACAAATTTCGGAGCCATCAGTATCCAGCTGATATTAGGAGTCCTAAGACTGGGTAAGATCACCTAATAAGTAAATGAAGACAGGATAGAGAAGGACATCAAAGATTGAGTCCAGAGCCCCTCAGCCATTTAGAGATTGGAGAAAAGAGGAGATTCCAACAAGTGAGACTTAGGAGGAAAAAACATGTTTCAAAGAGAAAATAGTGATCAACCTGTGTCGTTTGTTACAAGATTAGGGCTGAGAATTGATTTAGTAAAGTGGAGATCACTATATTTTTTTTCTTTAGTTGTTTCCTTAGTTGTTGGTCCAGAAATTTCAGCTAACATCTTAAAACAATCTAATTCAGATTAACGTCAAGTTCATTTGGATAGTATGCAAAGACTTTGCTCCACTGTAACTCCATTGTGAGTGCCTTCTCTGTACTATTACTGTCAGATGTGCTTTGCCTGCCTTCACTCAGTCATGTGGAACTCTTTGCAGCCCCGTGGACTGCAGCCCACCAGGCTCCTCAGTCCTCTCATGGGGTTTCCTAGGCAAGAATACTGGAGTGGGGTGCCCTTTCCTCCTCAAGGGGATCTTCCTGACCCAGGTATGAAACCCGTGTCTCCTGCATTTGCAGGCAGATTTTTTACCACTGAGCCACCTGGGAAGCCTTACTGCCAGATAAGTTACACATTTATACATAGTAAGCTCATAAATGCAGTTTCATGATTACTGTTTTTATGCAGTTGTCTTAAGTTAGGACAAGAAAAGTGGTACAAATTAAAACACATTTACACTGTCTTTTATATTTATCTGTGTAATTACCTTCTATCATTGGTGCTTCTTACTTTTGCATGTGAATTCAAATTAGTCACTATTGTCCTTTCCTTTCGGTCAGAGGAACTCCCTTCAGTGTTACATGTAGGGAGAGTGAAAATGACAGATGCTCTCATTTTCATCTGAGAACATCTTGAATCTTTCCTTAGTTTTTCTGTTGGACTGTGCTTCATTTTGACATTTCAATATGTATGGAATTCTTGGTTGATAGTCTTCCTAGTCAACACTTGAAATGTCACATCTTGGTCTTCACGCCTGCAGCGTTCAGATAAGAAGTCAGCTGTTCATCTTATTGAGGGTCACTTGGATGTGAGGAGTCACTTTTTTCCTGATGCTTTCAAGATACCCACTTTGTCTGTCAGTAGCTTGACTAGTGTGTGGATATGCCTAGGTGTGGATCTCTGAGTTTATCCTACATGAAGTTTACTAAGCTGGATTATGTAGGTTAAGGTTTTTCATCCACTTGGGAAGCTTGGAACCGTTATTTTCTCAAATACCCTTTCTTTCCTCCTGCCCCTCTCCTGTGACTCCCACATGCATGTATTGGTATGCTTGATGGTGTCCCCACAGGCCTCTGAGACATCTTAATTTTTATTCTTTGTTTTTGCTCAGATTGGATAATTTCAGCTGGCTTCTTATGTTTGCTTGTCTGTCTGCAGGTCTTACAGTTTCTACTGTATGGTATTTTAAACTGAGTGTAGGCCATACTTTCTTGTTTCTTTGTAAGTCCTACTTTTGTGTTCAAAACTGAGCGTTTTAAATAATACAGGGTGATACAATTGTTAGTCAGACATATCCTGAGATAGGAGCAAGATCAAAGCCCCCAATTAAAGGAACAACCTTTTGCTTTTCCTCCCTTTATCTTGTTTTGACAGCTGCTGCTCATCAGTCACAGCTTCTGCTTCTGTGATCTTGCTTGCTCACCTTGCTTGCTCTTTGCATCTTCGGGAACTTAGGCTACCTGGGGAGGGGAGGGATCTGAGCTGTTTCAGCGAGAAGTTTATGGTGTATAAAAGATGCCCAAAACAAAGCTGGGGCACTGAGCCTTTGAAGGCGACCGCACAGGCCTGAATGACCCTGCCACCCCGCGTCTTCTCATGCTGTGTGTCTCTCTCCGTCCCCACGGTCAGTTAGGTTCGCTGTGATTGCTGTTTGCTTTCTGACTTTTCTGAAAGCCTGTTTGTCATGTGCAGTTTTTGCAGTTTCTGCTCAATTAGTGGTCAGCTAATGTTTGGACAGGGATTTCTTTAATTGCTTTTGACTAATAAGTCAGCCTTTGTTGAGGGGCTGTGTAGGTCTGTTGGACATACTTTCAGTGCTCCAGGAGGCAGTTTGTGTAGACTTCCTTTAGCGTTTGCACAGAGCCTCAGGATTATCCAGAAGTGAGAGAGTAGGATCTTCTTGGGTCTTTTTTTGTCATGAACTGTGTCCTAAATGTACACCTGGCATTCTAGATTCCCAGGAATATATCTTGGAGCAAGCTTTTTCAGAGCCCTGTATTGACCTTCCATTCCTTAGATTTTGCTTTTAAATTGTTTTGGTCAGCCTTTTGTTAGTCCTCAAGTGGTGATATCACTCAGGCAGCTGTTGTGGTAGACAGTTGCTACTGAGAGTGTTTCTGAGAAACAGCCTGGGGGTCGGGCTGCTTCCACAGAGAGCTCTGCGTTAGATTACAGAGTGACTCTGCTGCTGCTGCCGCCAGGTCACTTCAGTAGGGTCCGAGTCTGTGTGACCCCTAGACGCAAGGGAGCACTTCCGTCTGCTGCCATGTCAAATGGTGACAGTGCTCAGGATGAAGCTTTGGGGAATTCCAAACCTAACTGTTCTAGTGACTGCTAGGAACACATTGGGTTATAAGACTACTGCAGAGCTGGGAAGGGGGGGATGGGATTGAAACACCACAGAGCTTGCTGTTCTTACTGAGATTGAGTCATTTTTCTTGAGTAAATGCTCCTTTGATTGTTGCATGCCTTTGGTTGATTTTTATACTTCTGAAAAAATTGATTTTGACAAGTTTTGTCAGTGCTCTCTGTAGATTTTTGTAAGTTGTTCTTCTGCCATTCTGAGAGTAGCTCTGTATTCTTGATGTGAAGGAATTCATAAGAAGGTTTTCTTTCTCGGAAGATGGAACATTGAAACATGTACGCTGCCTCTCCTTTTCTCCCCTTCTTGTCTCTTAGGCTCTCTTTGATCAGCCTCGCATACTGTAATTT